TTTGAGGAGATATATCAGAAAAAAATATTACTAACAGCAATGTCAGAGTTTACTGTCTATGTTTTCTTTAGAAGTTCTATGGTTTCATGTCTTACATTTAAGTCTTTAATCCATTTTGAGTTTTTCCTTGTAGATGGTGGAAGAGGTACTGTAATTTCATCTTTTGGCGTTTATCCAGTTTACCCAACTCAATCTATTGAAATAAACTGTCTTAACCCCATTGTATGTTCTTGCCTCCTTTGTTATATCTCAATTGACCATATAGGTGTAAATTTATTTCTGGGCTCTCTATTTTGTTCCATTGATCTCTATTATTTAATGATCTCTAGGTCTGTTTTATGCCAGTACCATACTGTTTTCATTACTATAGCCTTGTAGTATAGTCTGATATCAGGTAGAATGATACCTCAAAATTAGTCTTTCTCAAGATTGCTGTGGCTTTTTTTGTTGTAGTTTCTTATAAATTTTATAATTATTTTATTTCTGTAAACAATGCCATTTGTATTTTGATAGGGATTGCATTGAATCTATAGGTTGTGTTGGATGGTTTGGAAATGTTAATGATGTTCATTCTTTCTGTCTGTGGTACTTCTATTTATTTGTATCTCTTTAGTTTGTTTCTTCAATGTCTTATACTTTTCTGAGTACTTGTCTTTTACCTCTTTGTTCAAATTTATTCCTACGTTAGTTTTTTTTATGCAATTGTAAATGGGATTGTTTTCTTAATTTCTCTTTCTGATAGTTTGTTATTGGTGTATAAAAATGCAACTGATTTCTGCATATTAATTTTGTATCCTGCTGCTTTACCTAATTCATTTATCAGTTCTAATAGTGTTTGGGTGAAATTTTTAGATTCTCTATATATAGTATTATGTCATGTGCAAATAATGACAATTTTAGTTCTCTTCATTTGTTAAAATCTTTGAGTTGTTTCATCAATGTTTTTTAGTTTCAGAATACAAGTCATGTGCATGTTGTGTTAGATTTATATCAAAAGTCTTTTGGTTTTTTGCAATTATAAATTATTTAGATTTTTAGTTTTGGTGTCCACATGTTCATTGATAGTATATAGAAACACAAATTAGTTTTGTGTTATGCTATGATCTTGCTGAACTCACTTATTAGTTTTAGGAATTATTTTATTGATTACTTGAATTTTCTATGTGAGCAGTTGTAACCTGCTGATATTCTATTTAGTTGTTCTGTTAAATAATGAGAAAGGGGTGTTCTAGTCTCCCACTTTAATTAGGGTTTGCTGATTTTTCCTTCTAGTTTCATTAGTTTTTGCTTCATGTTTTCTGGATCTGTGGTGTTTGGTGCACACACATTTAAGATTGCTATGTCTTCTTGGTGGACTGACCCTTTCATCATTATTTAATATCCCTCTCTGTCTCTGATAATTCTTTTTGCTCTTAAGCCTGCTTCATGTGGTAATAGTATTCCTTCCCCATTATATTTGTATTAGTGTTAAATGATACATTTTTTCCATCCTTTTAGTTTCATCCTATATTCTTTTTTTTTTTTTTTTTTTTTTTTTTTAGAGAGAGAGAGAGAGAGAGAAACATCGATTTGTGGTCCCACCTATTTATGCATTCATTGGTTGATTCTTGTATGTGCCCTGACTGGGGATTGAACCTGCAACCTTGGTGTATCAGAATGACACTCTAATCAACTAAGCTACCCAACCAGGGCTGATAATATATATTTTAATTGGTTTAATTAAACCATTACAATTAATGCAATTATTGATATATTAGGACTAAATCTACCTTTTTATTTTTTGTTTTCTCTGTCTTATTCTCTCTCTGTTTGTTCCTTTCTCTGCTTTCCTTTTCCTGGCTTCATGTGGGTTACTTAAACATTATTTAGAATGTTGTTTTAATTTTTTTATGTTTTTGTACATATCTCTTTTTATAGCTATTTTATTGGTTGCTCTAGTCATTACATTTTATATATATACTTATCACAGTCTACTGGGTCAACAATTTGCCATTCTGTGTGATGTGTAGAAATCTTATTTCTTATATCCCTATATTGTCCTCATTTATATTATCATTGTCTTAATATTTCCTGTGCATATATTTAGAACCATTTCAGACAGTGTTATGATTTTGCTTCAAATCCAAATCAATTTTCGAAAACAACAGGAGTAGAAAAGCCTGTTATACTTCCTATATTTTCCCACTTATATTTCTTTGCACAGATCTGGAGGTTCTGCTCATTATTTTTTCAGTCTATATTTTCTTTGTTGTTCATATTGGTTAAAGTCTATTATTTTATCTAAAGTTTACTTATTCTTTTCTCTGGTCCCTCCATCTGCTGTTGAACCCATTTATTGAGGGGTTTTTTAATTATTGTATTTCTTAGTTTTGAAATTTCATTAAAAATATTTCTTTGCCAAGACTGTATATTTGTTTGCAGAGACTTTCTATTTTTGTCTTGTTTGCATTTATAAGTGTTCATTGAAGCATGCTTATAATGACTGCCTTAATATCTTTGTCAGATAATTCTAACATCTGATTTATCTCAGCATTATCATTTAGTAATTGCCTTTTTTTTTATTCGAGGTGAAATTTTTTCCCCCCTGGTTTTAGTATAACAAGTGACTTTTTATGGCAATCTGTCCATTTGGGGTATTTGACGTCTGGACCTTATTTAAATCTATGTATGTGGCTTTGTCTGGTACTGCTCTGAGACAAGAAGTGGGGGCTGCTTATTACTGCCAGGTGGAAGTCAAAGTTCAGATTCCCACTTGACCTCCATTGGTACCTGAAGGGGAAAGGACTCCTGTTACTGCTGGGCAGCATGAGTTCCATCTTCCTGCTAGGCTTCCACTGACGTCAACCTGGCTGGGAGGGAGCTTTGTTACTGCTCCCAACTGGCTTCCACTGATAACACTGGAAAAGGTTGGAGGGTAGAAGGTGGCCTCAGTAGTGCAGGGCAGTGGTTGAAGTCCTAACATTCTGCCAGGCCTGTTTTGACTCAGTGCCCGGCGGGTGAGGAGGAATACTAATGTCAGGTGGGGGTGGAAGTCCAGGTGGTCTCCACTGTTACAGTGTGTATGTGGGGAAACTCTTTACAAGCCTGCAGGGATGAAAGCCCCTATCCCGCCTTCTCACACCACCACCTGGGGCTATGGAGACTCCTATCACTGATGAGGGTCGAAGTCTGGGTTCCACTGACCCTTTGCTGGTGTGTGTGAAGGTGGGTAACAGTTTTTCTGTGATGTTTGCCTAGAGGAGAGCAGTTGTTTTTTGAAAGCTTTCTGTCTCACTAGGCCGCTCCTTCCCTAGTCCTTTGGTTGAAGAGATTAAGCCTTTGTGGAGGCTTTTCCTGTCCCTATTACTGTTTTCCAATTTTCAGGTTCCTCGGTTCCAAGTCTGGAATATAAGACAAAAAGAAAACCCAGGAACTTTTTGTCCTCCTTCTCTCCACCTTTCAGTGTCTTCTTATATTTATTTATGTCTAATGTCAGGTATTTTAGTTGTACTTAATGAGAGAAATAGGAGAACATAGTCCATCTTCCCAGAAGTGGAAGTCATAATTCTTTCCGAATGTTAAGCAGCACTGTGTTTTGAGGCATAAGTGTTAGGGTCTTCTCAAATCAGATGTCTGAAAGGAACCAGGAGAATGTCTCTTATGTTCCCGGACTTCTCTACGTACATATGAGGCATGTCTGTGACTGTGGTCCATTTGGGTGCATTCCTTTGATATTTGATGTCAAGTTACCGTATTTTTCCATGTATAAGATGCTATTTTTTTTCTAAAATCGTTAGACTGCAGTCAGCCCAGGAGGGAGCTGTGAGGGTGCTTAGCTGCCCATACCTTGTCAAACAGGCTTCCTCCAATCACGAGCCTTATTGTTACTGACGTCAGCTGATGCTGTAATTGGAGGTGGAGGTGGAGAGTGCGCAGATGCAACAGGGACTGGGGTGTTCTGAGCCCATAAAGATGTTAAAAAATAAAAAGATAAATACCAGTAAGCAATTGTCTTACTCTGCAAAATTCAAACTGAATGAAATCAGCTATGCAAACGAGCATGGAAATAGAGCTGCAGAGAGACAATTTGGACCTCCTCCCACTGAGTATATGATCAGAGAGTGGAGAAAACAGAAAGAACAACTCCTTAAGATGCCAAAAAAGAAGAAGGCCTTAAGAGGAAAACCAGGAATATGTTTAAAATATTGATTTCCTTTTTTTAAAATATATTTTTATTTATTTCAGAGAGGAAGTGAGAGGGGGAGAGAGAGAGAAACATCAATGATGAGAGAGAATCATTGATTGGCTGCCTCCTGCATGGTCCCTACTGGGGATCCAGCCTACAACCTGGGCATGTGCCCTTGACCAGAATCAAACCCAGGACCCTTCGGTCCACAGGCCAATGCTCTATCCACTAAGCCAAACTGGCTAGGGCAAAAATATTGATTTCTTAATTTTGGGTTGGAAACGGGGGTTGGGGGTGGGGAGCATCTTATACACAGAAAAATACAGTATTTGAAAGATTAGACCTGTCAGAATGTATGAAGGTGTTATTTGTAAATAGCATTTATTATTTATTTTTAATGTTTAAATTTTTTTTGTTGAAAGTATTACACCTGCCCCCTCCCAAGGCCTTCACCACACTATTGTCTGTCTCTGGGTTATTCAAATTTGCATGTATGTTCTTTGGTTAAGAGATTAATAGCATTTATTTTAATGGCTAATTCTTTGAGCTTGTTGATAGTCTTTGCTCACTCCCTGCATTTCTCCCTGAGGAATCCTAAGGCCATCTTCTACCAGAGTAGGAGGATCTGAGAGAAGCCCAGGCACTAGCCCCTCTCCTGACAAGAACTTTCACTGGAAAAGTAAAAGTAGACCCACTGACAGTCACTCTTGAGTATGTGAGGGCAGCTTTTATCTGTAGAAGCAGGCAAGTCATTGTTCTTTGTGTTCCTGATTTGCAAGAACATAAGGAGAATCCAGGTTTGCAAATAAACTGTTGTATTTTTTCCCCTTTCCAGGCAAAAGCTTATTATCCCAAATGGAAGTTGCCCTGTTATTCTGAATACTTATTTCTGTAAGAAAGTTGTTGCCAAAGAAGATTCAAGAACAACACATGAAGTGCGCTTTGGGGACACACCCCTTCCAAGAAGAAACATCACCTTATCCCAGATGTTTAGATTTAAGAGTCTAACAAATAATTCACCTGAAAGCCAGGTAACTCTCTTTGGCTTGGACGTTTTATGCTTTGTAATAATATTTGAAAGGATTATAAGGGAAGATGTTTACTTTTGGTCTTACTTCAAATATTCAGCTAATATATATATATATGCTAGAACATCTTGTATTATTGCTATGCCTAAAGAAATTATAGTTCAGTTCAGTATTTAGTTGTGATATTTTATAGTATTTTATGTAATTTTAATATTTATTCTAATTTATTAATATACTAAAGGCCCAATGCACGAAATTTGTGCACAGGTAGGGTCCCTAGGCCTGGCCAGCTATCGGGGCCGATGGGGCCTTCCTTTGCCTGCTGCCCGCCGGGGCCTTCCTTCGTTCCGCACCGCCCCCTGGTGGTCAGCACACATCATAGCGAGCGATCAAACTCCCAGTCTCTTGGTCGAACTCCTGAGGGGACATTTTGCCTTTTATATATATAGATATGAGTGTTGATTTCTTTCTGTTCTCATTTTATAATTACCTAAGATTTTTGTTTAAGCCCTCTTTTCTTATTAAAATGCATTTTTCTTTTTCACAATATCTGTATCACTTGGGATAAAAAGAGCTGCATAAACTTGAGATTATAAACTAGAGATTGTTTTTGGCATTTTATTGGCCCTGAGCCATGATCATCTGCCAAGATAAGTTTAGGGAACCACCAACCTTCCCTTGCTGTAGGCATGAAGTGCACTCCTGGGACCCCTCCAAGCTCTGTGGCTCCCAGTGCACCTGCCTCAGGTCGCCATGTTACTTGATTCAGCACTGAATGGAATGCTGGGAGTGACAGACAGCATGAGGGAATATAAGAAATAGAAAAGCAGACAGATTTTCACCCTGTTTTGTATAAGTGCAATCAAGCAGAATCTCCCTTGGCTCGGTTGGAGCATCCTCCCATACACCAAAAGGTGGCAGGTTCGATTCCGGTCAGGGCACATGCAGGAGGCAACTAATTGGTGTTTCTTAATATCTTTCTCTTTCTCTCTTCCTCTATCTAAAATCAATTTTTTTAAAAATATAGGTGATAAACTTTTTAAAAAATGAGTGTTTGGAGGGAATTATGTGAAAAAGAGAACTCTCTGATCAATTTAAAATATGGCTCAAAGTGTATTACTGCTTCAACTTCATGAAGTATGTTTTCAGCAACAGCGATAATGAAGCTGTAGTATAGCCTAGTGGTTAAGAGTATGGACTTTGGAGCCAGGTGTTCTGGTTCAGTCCTGCCTCGGCCACTTTCTTCTAGGTAACCTTGGGCGTTTTTCCTTTAGTGTCTGCATTTACATCATGGGATTACCTAAGAATGTCATTATCTGTTAGTGTGCACCATCATGAGTCAGAATGAAATCTTCCCTTGCGTGTCTTGGCCAGGTTCTGTGCAGTCTCCCCACCCTGAGGACAGACTGGACCCACAGGCCCTGCTCATCTCAAGCGCCCCTGAGCGACTCGCTCCTGGACACAGTAGAAAGCCAAGGAGCTGCCACGTGGTCGGGAGTTGGAGTCCCAGTGGTGGTGCAGAGAGTTTACTTTCTTCCCTGCAGGTGTCAGCAGGGAGGCGGCTCCGCGGCTCCACCCAGCTCAGACGCACCAAGCTTCCGGTGAGTGACAACTCAGGCATGGGGGTACCTAGAGTTACTTAGAGAAAGGAGAGGTCTTTCAGGAGCAGTTTCTTGGCTACACTCACCATATAAATGGGTTGTTTTTCTTTGTTTGTTTTCTTGCATCAACATTTGGGACCAGGGTATGACAAAGGATTCTGTCTATTTATTTATATAAAAAGTCCTACTAAAATAATTTAATTTATACCATTTACTTTTACCTTTAATGAGTCATGTTATTGCAAGTAATACAAATACAAGCTATACTAGAATTGTTGTAGAAAAGCCAAGATGTGGTTACCCTTGCCCTAGGCCTAGCCTGTTTGGCTGAGTGGGTAGAGTGCTGGCCTGCGGACTGAAGGGTCCCAGGTAAAAAGATGTGGTTACCCTACCTAAAAAGACTGCGCACTGTATTGTCTATCAAATTGTACATCTCTTAAAAACCTGGGTGAATGACAGTTAGTAGATCTGTAATCTAGCCTTTCAGAGACACTGTTTTAATCCACACAGCGCTACTTACCAGAGCTTTCTGCAATGATGTAAAAGTGGTGTATCTGCGCTACCCAGTGAGGTAGCCACTGACTGCATGCGGTTATTGAGCACTTGGCTAGTGGGCCTGGGGAACTCAATTTTAAATTTTACTTAATTTTAATTAACTTATTTTAAGTAGTTCCATGTGTTTAGTGGCCACCTTTGTTGGACAGTGCTGCTAGATGAATACATACATAAACAAGGCCAAACGTGATTCAGAATCACTTTTGCTCATATGAACAGAGAGAAGGATATCTTCTTCTCAGATGTAGGCTCTTCCTGGCTTTACATTTTTTTAAATTGCTATAGACACATTGTTGACTGAAGAGTTTATTTCTTTATGTGTGATTCCTGGCATAACCTTTGAGGTTGTCTTTCTTCCTATGGTAAGCTGCCCTTGGAGCAGTAATATGGATTTACAACAGAAGAGAACTTAAAAGTATAGATACCAGTTCATCATCATTTTTTCTATCTACTCTTAATAAGAAAACATATTATAGAAATAATAATCATTCTATTTTAATGGTGCCTTCTGATGCTATTCAAAAGGAGCATCAAGGAACACTTCTGTATTAATTATGAATTCTCTTCAAGTGTATGGCCCTTGATTTGAAAGTACTATGAATTTCAAAATGTCTCCTTTAGGTGTGGACTTAGAGAATATTTCTTTTGGATTATAGAAAAAAAATTATTTATTTGTGTGAAATACATAAACATTCTATCAGTTTTAAGGTTTTTACTATGACTTGTACTATAGACCAGTCTTGTATTCTTTGACTTAATTCTGTGGTCAATCCAAATAGAATTATCTGAGATAGTTAAGATTAGACACAGGTTTCGTTTTGCTTTGCTTTTTATGGCACATACCCAGTGTTAGGTTTCGGAGAAGGTAATACTGAGCAAGCTAGGCAGTTAGGACCTCGGTAAAGCTTTCCCAGACCAGCACCAAACCACATACTTTGAGGAGATGGGGACAGCAGGGACTGAGTCACAATGATGAGAAGACAAGATAAAACTGACAGTAAGGTTGCTTCCTTGTGAGCAATCACCAACAGCATGCACCTCGTAGGTTGTGTCCCTGCAGCTCCTTCGGTAGTACTTGTTTTACGTGTTGAGCAAGTTGGAAGCTAGAGTGTGACGAATTGCTGTCAGTGGTCCAGAACATGGATTTTTTTGGATTTGTACCTTAGAACACACACTGGGACATGGGATGTGACTGTGCTTGTGGAAGACTGAAAGAAGGCCAGGCATAAACCTTAAAAAACAAGAAGACAGTTATTTAGATGGAATGAAACGCTTTTTGCATGGTATGTTTCTTGTAGTGCACATGCGGTTGTATAATGCTGAGGTGAGAGTCCCATTTTACAGCTGAGGAAACTGAGCCTCAGAGAGGTTCCTATTTACTGACAATTATATTGGTGGACAAAAAACAAACAAACATAATGAACTATAGAATCCCAAATGACAGGGTTGTAGAGAATGTTGATGCCAAAAAGGGAGAAAATTGAGTTAAAACCAAGCTGTGCTTAGATCGAGGCTGACTCAGAAATCAAGTCAACCTGGGGCAGCAGGAGTGCAAGTGCCCAGCCATGGGGAGAATCACATGGACTGTGCGGGGAAAATGAGCTTTTGGACAGAAGGCCATAGCATTTGACCATGGGTTTGAGGACAAGGCATCTGAGATATTTTTTGAGTACAAACAGTCCTATTGTGTAACTGATAGCTAATATTTTCTGGCTTCATTTGCTACTATAATGATCAGACTCTCCAGTTTACAAATCAAATTAATATTGAAGGAAAATTATACTTAACCCTCTACTAATTCTTTGCTAATCTATACTAATAAAAGCATGATATGCTAATTAGACCGGACAGCCAAACAACATCCCGGACGTCCTTCCGGACTAAGCTGCGGTGGCAGGGGCCGAGGCAGAGGCAGTTAGGGGCAATCAGGCAGGCAGGGAAGCAGTTAGGGGCATGAGGCAGGCAGAGGCAGTTAGTGGCGATTGGGCAGTCAGAGGTGGTTAGGGGTGATGGGGCAGGCAGGGGAGCATTTAGGGGCATCTGGCAGGCAAAGGCGGTTAGGGGTGATCAGGCAGTCAGGGGAGCAGTTAGGGGCATCAGGCAGGCAGGCAGAGTGGTTAGGGGAGATCAGGCAGGCAGGCGAGTGGTTAGGAGCCAGTGGTCCCAGATGAGAGGGATGTCCCCCCCCCCCCCGGGGGCCCCCCCCCCCCCCCCCCACATGAATTTCATGCACCAGGCCTCTAGAGTGTATATAAAGAAAACATTAAATTATCTGCCTTTGAGAATTATTTAACAATGTTTTCTAATGTAGACTTTTTTTATGCATACGCATGTACCATGTATATAAGAGAAAACGTTATTAAAAGTCTTAGGTATATACCTTGGAAGATCCTTTTATTTTCTGCTTGCAATTTCTACCCATAACTTCTTGATCATAGATAAATTTGAGTGACACTCTGTGTAACACATTTGTGTTAAGCTTGCTAGAGGCACAAGTACAACAGACATGGAGACATTTCAGCGTGACCCCTTACCACCGAAAACAGCTCTAAGTCTGCTCTCTTGTCATAATCTTCTGTACCCTAAAGATCTTTCTATCAGTGAACTGAAAGACAACTTTGATAACTATATGTTTTCTACAAAATATCAGAAATTACCATGTCAGAAGAAATTTAGGTCTGTGAAAACCAAAACAACTCTGCGTTATGGTATATACTTTTTGCCACACTAATTCTCCCTTCCCTGCTCAACCAGGTCAGATGATTCCCTGTGAAATGCTAGGATGAGTTTTATTATAACTACTTAGCATCTTGACTGTAGGAATCAATCTCGATCTGTTCCCAGTGCTTTAGCAATATCACTTTTCTGAGATCAGTGAGGGCTTATCTTCTGATGGCAGACAGCACAACGTTTGCCACCTTTGAAATGAAAGGAAACTTATTTCAAGCCAGCTGGTCCCGAACACAGTCAGATAAATTCAGTCAAAAGGCTCATGTCCTCTGAGCTGTGAAACATTAGCAAACATATACTTTAGATTTCAGAAACATAATATGTGAGAGTCTTCTGTCCATGTTCTTGGCGACTTCTTTTAACTCATGCTGTTAAAACATTTCTACCAGGTTTCTCAATGTGTTATGTCAGAGTAACCAACAATAATTTAAGTTTTATAAATCACTAAAATCAAAGGTAGTAAAAAACCAATCCAGAAGCACTCCGTAATCATTAAGCTAGGGGGTCAGGTTTAGAGCCCCAAAACACCTTTATCTAGATCCACTGCATGTTGATTGAATATTAAATAAATGCGTGACTAATAAAACCATAGGCTTTTTTTTTTTTTTTTTTTTTTTTTAGCAGAGAAGGGAACTTAGATCTTGGAGATAATCTATAGTGGAGGAATCTGAGGTAAAGAAAAAGTACATGTCTTAGTGAGTCCCTACCTCATTGGTATAGTAGAATCTAGACCAGTGGTATTCAACCTTTTTCATCTCATGGCACACATAAACTAAATTACTAAAATTCTACAACACACCAAAAAATATATTTTTTGCCAGTCTGACAAAAAACAAAAAATAGATGTGATTTTGATTCATTCACACCAGACAGCTCTTGTGCTGGCTGTTGTCATTGTTTTATTTGACAATCTAAGGGGAGAGAGGTCAGTGCCCCTGACTAAATAGGTATTGCATGCTTTAAAAATTCTTGCGGCTCACCAGTGTGTCTCTTGCAGCCCACCAGTTGAAAATTGCTGATCTAAACAAGATTACTTTGCTCCCAGTCCTTGGGAATTGCCATTAAACACTGCTTTCCTTTCTCCCTTTCTGGAACATTCACTTCCTTTGTCCTTGAGACATTTAACTTAGAGACAAATATAATTTAACTTTATCCCTTAGAGATGCGTGATCTTTATTGCACGTCACTGCAGAAATGTTTTCAATGAGGACACAGAGCTTGCTCAGTGCCCGTGCATTTGGACAGAAAGCCAGAAGGACAGAACCTTCTAGCGTAGCAGTTTAATCGAAATTCGTTGAGCTGAACTCAGGAAGCACATTTTCCTTTTTCTGTACCTTGAAGTTTTAGTCTCTGTTTTAATCTTTTGACCCTTCCTTTAGTCTCTTGTCTTATATTTCTTCCTCTTTTTCACTAAGAAAAAGTATCCCCCGTTTTCCTGGACCATGTTCTGGTTCTGCAGTGGTTAACAAGACCAGGCATTATCCTCGCCACCCAGGGAGTCCCATACAAAAAATTAAAAACAGATAATGTTTATGATTATAAGTTGTAATAAATGCTCTAATAAGAAAAAGTAGAACACCATGAGAAAGACCAGTGGAAAAGGGACAGAATTTAGTTGGGAGGATTCAAGGACAGGTGTTCTGAGGCAGTATTATTTAAAATGACACTTACATATAAGTAGATGTTAGGTAGAAAGAGAACTTCATGCAGAAGAG